ATCTGGTGCGAGTATCATGATATAGGGCATATTCTGCTGGCATGAAAATGGTGCCCTGGTGTTTCTCGAGGTCCTGAGCTGAGGGAACGTGACATTGCTGCGCAATACGTACGAACTATGCACATGATATATATCTGTCTTTTCAGGCACTGGCAAATCGGACTAATCCTAGTACTGCACATCATTTCGCCTGTCATTCTTACGCCTATTCGAATGATAGTGATCGAACCAGTACCAACTTCTTTTCAACAATTTTCGGGTAAGATAAATGACCAAAATGGCATGCTACAGCAGCCAGTAATGGTATGCATCTGCGATCAACGTCGAACAAATGCTAGTTTAATTTCATCTTTTTAGACAAGAAATATTTTTAACTTCTGGAAAAACTAACACTGAATAAACATGGTTGTTTTATGAAAAATCTGTTCTCTCTTCTCATTGTTGCACTTCTAGATGCAGTTACTGCTGCCCATGATATGCAGATACGCTGCACTTCTGCTTATGCCTTTCTAAAATTTCGAGATCAAACTAAAATTTTAGGTCTATGGTAGGCTTCTTTCATGATGCTAAAACCCTGCTGGATGTCATTCTTTAGCAGATTTGTACTACTTAATCTCAAATGCCTGAAATTCAGGAATCGTAAAGTTAAAAATATACGGGATATTGCAGGTTTGTATATATATGTACTATTAAATCTTTAATGTTCAAAATTAGGAATCATAAAATAAAAATGTATAAGGCATTGGTATTTATTCTGTAGGATTTAAATTTCCTTAACCAAGTTCTTTCCTTTCTTTCTTTTATTTTAAGTACTTTTTACTTAGGTATGAAAGATTTGTTAGGTACTACCCCGACTATTTCAGGAACTTTAATTTTTTAAATTTACTTTAAGTTTCAAAAGTTTTTTTTTTTTTTTTTTTTTTTAACTAATCATTTTTTTTTCAGAGAAGGAAGTTTAAGGCAGTTTTTATACCCGACTAACCCAAATACTGGTTGCCAGTCGGTTTGTATGCTAGTCCTGACTTAGCAGGAGAATTTTTAAATTTTAATCGTTTTGAGTTTATATAGCTAACAAGCAGCAAATTAATTTTCCAGTTTCCAGTGTGTTCATATAAAGAATTAAGTTTTTACTAATGAATGTAACTAGAAAATGCTATCAGATATTAGCTAGTATAAGCAGAAAGATTTAAAAAGTAGAAAGCGGCTAAAATCCCCCAAAAAGGCTATAGTCACTCTAAGTAGAAAGATTTCAGTGGAAAGTAACGACTTGACTTCACAGACGGACATATTTTACGTAACATATGCAGCAAATTTGCAAATATTTTGAACTTTAAAAACTGTTAGAAATTGTAGTCGAAATACTTTTCATCTAAGCCAGTTTGTTTCTGAAATTTAATGAATAGGAATTTATGTTACATTTTCAGGCCTTGCTTTTATCGATTTCGTGATGATTTTAATCGTGTTTTCAGCTGAAAGTTTTGCATGATAAGCTCATACTTATTTAATTGTGTAAAATAACAAAAACTTCTCTATATCTAATTTCAAATATCTTCAAACTTGAAATCGGATGCAACAAATTAATCAGAGTTTTTACATCTAATCATTTAATTCGATTATTATGCATAATTTTATTATAAAGGTGCCTTAATTATGCGAACAAGAATTCATTAATTGTAGCAAAACAGGGGAACTTCTGCCCAAATGTAAGAAAAACATCTTTTGGAAAATGTGCAAGGAACTGTCTTAAATAATAGCATATAGGGAAATACGTAATGATCTCATGCAGCTAGCTTGCTTCAGCCATCAAGAAATGAACCCAGCACGAACTCTCACAGTTCCGCTGTTTTAACCACTCGGCAGCATATACTTTCAATCATTTGAAGCGCTAGATTTATATTGTAACAATATATTTGCCACAGCTGGATAAATTTTAAAGAGACGGTGAGGTTAAAGTTCTATTTTATTAGCTTCTTTTTAAGAATACTGTATAGAGTGTGTATCACGGATAGCCCATCAAGAAAGGAAATAATGTTTTAATGTTTCTGACGACATTCATTCTTTTACAGCTGTTGCAATCGCTACCATTTTTTCTTCTCAACGGTCAGGTCGCATCACTGCGCAATCTGTTGTCGAGCACGTTCAGGACAGAAAACTCATTTTTCTCCAGTTGAAGAAATAGATAAAATATAGAATTGGGTGATGCGGCGTCATCAACAATAAAAAAGACAGATGAAGTCGAAATGCAGTGAAACAAAGACTGAAAGAAGAGTGGAAGAGTAATGATAATAAATGCGGCTGTGACATTCAGAAATATGGAACGGAGAGCGCATATAGAATTCGAATTTCAACCAGACCACGATTTTTCGAAGAAGGATAACATCAGTTTTGCTGCGTGGAAAGCGCTTACATGTTCTTAGCATGATATATGAAAGCTGGTTTTGTTATCGCTTATTTTTTCTTGCACTTCGTGTTTAATATTTCATCTGCTAGGGACTACCTGCATATTACTTTAAAGTCATAAATTTATCATTTTTGATGCATCCAATAATATTAAAACTCTATCTGAAGTAAATTTTGTAAATTATGACTTTGTGTGTCTCACCCAAGCAACATTTAAGACATTTCAAGTCAGAATAAAAGCATCTTCCTGAAATTCTGGTTCCAGTCCACTGCAGTTAAGGAACATGAGAAAAAATGTTTAAATATTGAAATTTTCAATTTTGAGCTAAAAGAAACGTATGTTCATACACATTCTTTGTTAGAACCTGTTTTATTAGCTGAGAAGAAGTCTTTAGAAGTCTCTCTGACAAAAAAACTATTGTCAAATTGCATTCATAGAAGAAGTCAAAACCCACCGCTCAACTGGCTGCCGTGCCAAAGCGTCCGGGTTCGAATCTCGGAGAAGGCATAGATGTTTGTAAATGTACAGTGTCCGTGTGGCATGGAAGCACCCGAAATATGCGGCGAGCAGAAAGTTGTGTCGAGAGGTGGGTGGTAGGGAAAGAAGGGTGGGAGACCTTCGGGCCCGTCCTCCTTGGGTTGCTCTCCATCAAAATTGGGGGCGGAACTGAGCTAAATCGCAATGTCACCTGTAATGCGCTCAAGGCTGTTGCCAACAACAGGTGCTCCTTGCGCTGTTATACGTCAGACAAGTGAACAGCAACAACTCAAAACCCGAAAATGGAGGAAAGTTTTAATAATTGTATCTGCACACGAATACCAAAAACTGTTCTGAATGTCATCACATTAAAATTAAGTTTATTAGATGAGATAATATATTTTAAAATAGTGTACAAAGTCGCAATAAATAAGGGAATTATTGGGAATAGAACCAGGGTATTATACGGTAAAGTTTTTGCGAAAATAGATTGCGATAGAATTCGTGAGGCGCATCTCGCTTACCAAAAGGCTTTCTAAAATCGCCAGAAACATACATAAGTTAATAAAACAAATACAACCAGATGCAGAAATGCCAGTTCAAGATGATTATGGTGCAGGAAAATGTTAAAATGATTTTTTTTATAAATTATTAGTGTTTAAATTGGTTTTTCAGTTTTTCGAAGGTTTTTTAACTTTCGGTACTTTCTGAAAAATCAGCCTAGAAGGTTTAAATTTTCCACAGTTGTTTATCTAACTATTCTTTGAACCGCAGGATATAAAATTCATGATCATTAGTTGGACATGTTAGAAAATTAATACCATTTTTCTATGATTTTCAAAACAATTTACTAATTATTTCAATATTTTTATTTTAAGTAAAATGTAAAATACTGCTTATTATTCTTAAATGATATATTTTTAACCATCATGCAAAATTTGAAGGAGTTTAATGTGGTATATTTTAAGAAATGTGTACAAACTAGCACACTGTATCAGATGATTCGTCGAAGGTAAGAAAAATTAAACAACTGGTTTTTAAACACATTCTTTAAATTTACACTTTATGTGTTTTATATAATCTACAAGCTGTCTATTTTAAATGAAAAAAAGAATGTAGAGCATATGTTTATTTTGAGAAAAGTTATACCGTAATAACCTTTGTCCCGAAATAATTGCATTTCTTCAGTCGATATGTCAGATGTCTCCGCAGTTAAACAGAACTTTATTTGTTTCATGTCGGAAAGCTTTATAATATTTCAGTTCAATATGTCGGCGTTTCTCAGACGTTTCCTAGTGGGGCTACCTATGTGAGTTAGAATGTTCTGCGAACAACTTTTCTCTTGTCCTCTGCGAAAGCTATTTTTAAGCATGTGGTTCTAACAGTATACTTTGGTAAACTCAGCTAATTTAAATTATATTTTTTGACTTTTTGGAAATATAAACGGACTACAAGGGTGGATTTCGAAGACTGCGTATGGTTCGTGGACCATAGATTGAGAAATGCTGCAATATGTAGCTGTACTTCCAAATATTGAAGTCTCAGCTATTTAGTTAACAGCAGAAAAGTTATCACAATACAACCAAACATAAAAGTTATTTTACATTATAAATGATGGATTCTATAAAACAAATTTTACGAAGCAAAGATATGTCTTTCTTTTTATGATTTGTGTATACGTTGGAATATAACTTTTAATTTTGTCGAGATTTAATATTTTTTCATTCAGAACTCAGAAATATGTTTAATACAATGGATTTTCTTTTCGATTCTGCTCGTGATATATAAAAATCCATTATCGCCAAAGATACCATCGAAATTCCAATGACAGTTGGAAAAATTTCGATTTCACAGTATGGGAGCATTGAACATTTAACCTGACTATTGCAAATTCCTAATACAGACACCAAAAGTCGCATTAAAATCGGAAACAATGAACCAAGACAAAAAACACCATTGACAGTTAAAACTGCTTTCACTCATATAGCTCCTAGCTCTGTCTGGGAAGTTCTACGACTTTGAGGTTTATTAACTCATAAAATTAGGTAAAGCAAAAAAAAAACTTTGTTTTTTTATTATTATTATTTTATTACATGTTCCGCTTTAGGCACTACACGGAAAGGATCACGTACTGTCCACATGTATAACATGTCGAAAACCACGCATTTGCCCGGAGTAGATTTCAGTCAGTACTCAATCGGCTTCGAGGGTAAAAAGGTAGAGGTCTCTCTTCATCAGAACCAAAGAAATCTGAAGCAGATTTTTCTGTTAATTTTATATTTGGCGGTGTTTTTCTCTTTTGTCTTCTTAACTCATACTCAGATTAGAGCAGAGCTTGCTGAACCTGTTTAAAATCGTGACTGAATTTTTCAAACCAAAATTTATTACAAATCCATTCGCATGGTAATTGTTCTGAAAAAGAAAAACAGAAAAATTCCTAGAAGAAAGCAGCACAATAATATAAACAAACATATGTAAGTATTTATAATTAATTCATGTTTATGAATCAATGATTCTAATACTTAAGTATGTGTAATTTCATTCAAAAACTACGACCAACCAAAAATTGTCTTTTGACCGACTACTTAGTCGTGGGTGGGGGATTGTAATTACGGAAACTCAGTAAATCGGGAACAATCATAGTCAGTGAATAATGAAAAATAGTAGTTATCAGTAAAACGCAAGAAATCGTAGTCTAGTGAATAGTGGAATAATTTAAGAAGCACATATTCTGTTGAAAGAATTGCACCGGGCTGGTAGCGATTATCTTGTATAGCATTAAATAATAACTAAGATTTCATAGGAAAAAGTCATTGGATATGTTTAATTATTTCTATGGAAATACGAAGTGTTGATTCTCTTTACATTTACTCATATTAGTGGAGTTTATGTGGAAATCATTTTGTGATATCAGATAATATTTTAACTTTTTCAAGCTTTACATAATCCTCAAAATATAAAGCAAGATCATAAAAATGCAATTTTTAATGCCACTTTGACTAAATGTAGCATTAAATTTAACTTCAGATTGCATTAATTCATGAAAAACTATTTTCTTTCATATACATCCGCATTTTCTTGTTATAATTTTATAGGTCAAAATGAGCACATACTTATCGTTCATTAGAGCTGTTAAAATATCTTGTTGCTCAAAGATGGTAGTCAATAAATAATTAGTTGTTTTTATACTCAGTTAAACACCATCAAGCTCATAAGTAAGTGATATTCAGAACTGCTCAATTTCATTCAAAAACTTAGTCACGGTGGCCGTTAAGTTAACTGGATCACGATTTGCTGTCCATTTTTCATTTTTCTCGAAGAACGAAAGAAATGTGACTAGCACTTCTGAATACTTCGAAAAAATATTTTTGGTCAAATTAACTTACTCCAATTTCAACAATACATTCGTATTTTTTCCTTTCGGGAGAAAATGACATTTCACAGAACTCACGAAGTAGAATGAGTACCTTTTTTAAATGGACGAAACAAAAATGGTTTTCACAGAATACTTTCTTTGTCCACTAGTCTTTATTTTGGAGTTGAAAGAAGTGACTTTTATAGATGACTTTTTAATGACTCTTTTCCTATAAACGCAAAAAAGGGCGAAATCTTCAAAGAATCATATCATCTTATTCCAAAGACCAAGGCGAAGTTAACGGTTTCAATGCATTTGCGTAATTATTAAAGGATGAATACCCATTTTACAGCATGACATTCAAACAACGTCACCTACAGGTGCTATTACTGAAGGAACTGAAGTTTTGATTATTTTTTTAACTATCTATATAACTAACAGAAATAGAACAGGTGCAGAATTAATTAATAATACTTATGCATCGGTTTTGTTGGATATCGCAATACTTATATAGTTCATGCTATTAATAAGGTGTAAGTTGATTAATTAAATTCTCGAATCTGGCATAAGAAACTATGAATGTCATGGAACAAAAATTTAACCTTAAGTTTTCGTAATTTTATGCAAGTAATTATGATAAATATATAAAGCCTTTTTTTTTCATGGTTTTTAAGTTTTATTTATTTATTTAGTTAGGCTTACTACAACTTTTAATGCCCATTTATTCATGTTTTCACAATGCAAATTTTAAAAACAATTATCAACTTTGCAAAATTCAGTTTTCAGTAAATGCTGAAACAAGCAAAGGTAAGAAACAGAAAACCGCGTGACATGCTTAAATATGCAAGATTATAGATTCGAATGTTAAATGCAACGTTCTCCCTCAGTTGTGGGAGCTAAAGTGGCGAAAAGAAAACATACGGAATTTCGGAAATGTTGTTGTAATTGAATCACAGAAAACGAAGATCATACCGCCAATCGAAACTGAACTGAAAGCAATTGAGATACGAATTCCTGAAAAGGTGACTTCGAAAAGGTATTATAACTGGGATCATCAGTTGCAGTCGACATGCTTTTATGAAGTGAAACTTATCTAGGATATTTAAATGTTTTGTGTTTTTAGTGAAAAATTTCAACGTTCCTCTTTCTTGACCAATGTATATCAAACAGTTTGCTTTATCAAACAAATGCTCTTAAATAGTCAAGTTTCTAATCAAGAGCTGCTCGAAGAAGCAAGCTCTTAAGTATACAGGGAATGATAGAACAGTTATTTTTAACAGTATTGGTAACAGGAAACCTAGTACACTTCCTGGAGGCATTTCAATTCCTCAAAATTCTTTTGTTTGCGATTAATGATAACAAATCTATTAAATGGAATCGTTAATCAGAACAGAAAGAATTTTACATATTCTTTCGGTTTTATTAATGATTTCTTACCTCATTAATGTCAACTTTTCAAGAATGCATTTCTTATTTGATTTACGTCAACGGATGGTGTTAAGGGGTCTATCAATCATCTAGAATTTTTTTCTCTTGTTTTTTTCGTAGGTAACAGTTTTTTTTTTTTTTTTTTTTTCATTTTTATTTCTGTTGCTTCCTAAAAGTGTTCTATTTAATCTTCTAAACTAGAGTCTTGAAAATTTACTCTAGTTACTCTTCTTCCTGACATTTATCATTAGCTACATTTATTTCTTTTTATTTCTCACATTGCAATTAAGCTGTTAGTTTATAATTTAAGTCATTCAATCTCGCATAGTAAATATCCACTGGTTTCCACATGTTAAGCAACAAATCGAAAATTCGCGAAAAATCGGCTACACATAGTTCGACATTCTTTAAATTTGGATATGTTACAAGTCAAAGCAAGCTGCATCGAGTAGCATTTTTCAAAAGAGAGGCACTGCCATTGTTTTACGTACACACGATACAAATTAAACCAGCTGTTTAGGAATCAGTGAACGACGGTGTATTAAACAATTTCGGAGGCGAAATTTGCCAGCAGAATGGCTTCATAGAACCATAAACCGATAGAAGCAGATCAACGGCAATGTGATGCAAGATGCAATGTTGTAAAGCGGCTGGTCGACTGTTCCGTGGTTAAACGGTTGTGGAATTAATTTCTAACTACTGGCTGTGTCTCTCAATGGTAGGCAGAGAGTTACCACTTCCGCAGATGACCGGTATTTGCAACTTAGTGAAACAGAACTGCGACTCCATCTCAGCTTAGATCCGTGTTTATTTGTGCTGCAGGAAGAGCAGTATCAGCCACGATAGTACGCAGGAAGGCTGCATGAAAGAGGAATGTATGCTAGGCCACCGTCACTGTGCGTCTCACTTACCTCCCGTCAAAGGATGAAGCATTTGAATGGGGCAAGTAGTCATACAAAACTGGCCTGGGAGCACAAACCTGTATGTGGTGCTACATGGAACTCTCAGTGCTCAGAGGTACACACATACTTGTTCGCCCGTATGTTGCAGCAATTGGCTATGACTTCATTTTCCAAGTAGATAATGCACGTCTTCACACTGCTCGCTTCTTTCACCATTTTTTTCAAGATGAAACTAAGCCTCAAATAACCAATGATATAAACAACATTCTCTCCGGATCTCGCTTCTCACTGATCACTGCGTAGTACTCGGGAGCTGTGCTGTAGCTTTCAACCCCCTCCACAAAACCTAGATGGGCTTAGAACTGCTTACGTGATCAATGGTCGTTGTTACTCGCGCAGCTCAATAACAAAGTCATAAGCAGCATGAAACATCGCTCATGCTGCTTATGACATTAGCAGCATGAGCGATGTTTCATACTGCTAGCTTATGACTCGGTATTAGTGTTCAAGGTGATCAAACTGACTATTGAGAAATTTTGGGTATTTAATTTCTATGATTGAATTTAGGAGATTTCATGTTCCTTTTGTTATCACAAAATGCAAACACTCTGAATAATATTTTCTTGTTTTTTTAAATTAAAAGTGGTATAATAAGTATTATTACTAAGATTCGTCCAATTTGCATACTTTTTATTTTAGAAATATAATTGAGTTTACGAAAATAAATAAAGCTGACAGCTTAAAAATGACATAAAGTTTACTTACTTATGCCTACTAAACACACAAATTCTTTGCAGAAACACCGACAATCCATTTTCTCGTTTAGCAAAGAATTGGGAATTCATGAAACGATTCAATGTGCCTCCACATTCCCACCCTATAAAAACACATACTTTTAAGTTTTACTATATTATTTCATAACACTTTCGTTAAATACATATTGCCGCTCTAAATTATCAGGAAAATGTTAAAAATCGCTGCTGGCTGAAAAGAGGGATGTTTCGATTAATTTTATAAATCGAGATGGTCAAGTTCAGCCATTACAGAATATTTGCATAAAGACTATTATTTACATAAGTCGAATCGCCGTCGAAGATATAATTTCTTATGCCTTCAGTTTACATTTTGTTCATTTTATGTAAAATGGAGTTACTAAAGATAAGAAATTACTAAAAAGCTACTTTATTGATACTTTTTTACACTATAGATAATTTAAATTTAAAATACACTTTTGACCGAAGGACTTATTTATTATTTTTTAAATAAAAATAATAGATAATAGTCCACTGCCTGAAACAAACTGCTTATGATTAGCCCAAAGGGGCAATTTGCCCACAAAGGCTATTAATTTCGTTTTGGCATTTTGCGTTTGTTCACTGTAAAAGTCTGAATCACTTTTAAAATTGTTGCCACTAAATATTAGAGCCCTGCATTATATGTAAAGACGTTAAGTAATGAAGAATCTGCACGAACGCATGTATATTTCTCGCATTGTGAAAAATCAATGGTATCAAATTTTGAATAACGTAGTCCACCACTCGAATATGGGCATCTGGAAGCCCAAATTTGGAACTTGTTTTACTATCCATTTCATATTTTGTAAGACCTTAGCGAGTTCTTTATTAACAAACCCAACGATTTCAAAGCCGGCAATGGCAGCACTGTATGGGGAAAAAATTATCTCCAACTCACGACACTGCGTATAAGAAATTCTAAAGATATGCTCTTTTAAAATATTTTATAATATTGCTGTTGAATTTATCAGGACTACTATTTCGTCTAATTGCTTTGGCAAACATTTTGGTGTTCTGATGTAGAACAGTGAGTTTAAACTATGTTCGTTGAAAATACGACACAGGTGGGAAGGGTTTAATTACCTTTTACCCCTTCCCAGTTTATAGCTTTTCCCGCGCTTCGGGATACAAAGATCAGTACTGGTGGCCTGAACATAAACCATAAGAACTAAAATTAACTGAATTAAGTAAGAACTAAACTCAAATGCTTTACAAAGATTAATAACAAGAAGATTGGCCTTTTGATCTTTACGTACGGGTCCGAGGGTCTCCTACCACAACCTCTCGAGAGGACTTTCGGCTAGCCTCGTAGTTAAAGTGCCTCCATGCCATATTTAGAAAAAGTAGAGAGAGTTATTTGTCGTCTGTAGTGCGAGCGGTCTGGTTGCAAAGATGCTTCCATGATTTTCCCCACGTGTAACCTGTATACGAGTCAGTTTCCCTGAGATCATCGAAGACATCCCTCCTCTAAGTAGATATCCCTCGTGTGCTTTACGAGGGGCTTTTTCTTTGCTTTGCTTTTCTTTTGCATAGTCAATTAAAGCAAAAATGTCCTATAACAGTACTTCCTTTTCTCTATACAAGGAAGTAAAACAGTTTTTATGCGATGTCCTTTTATTCATAATTCGTAAAATAATTAATTAATTGATAAAAAATAATTAATAAGAGAAATAAGTTATCTTGCAATTTCATATAAACAAGAAATTAAAAAATTCTTCTTACAAAATTCATCTACAATTTTATATCACGAATAGTGAAAACCCGAATAATAGATAAATCACGAATAATGGAACCCTTGGATAAATATATAAAGATTGCAGCTCATGATTCTGAAAATGCAATTCGGTTAATGGATTTTGCTATTTGGATGCCCACGCTTTTATTATTCGTGATACAGAATTGTAGATGAATTATAAACAGTTATTTAATTTCTTGTTCGCACGAAACTATATATGATAAATCATTTTCTCCTTAGCTCATTACCTATTTTATGAGTTTTAAATAAAAGCTTATTTTATAAAAACGTTTTTACTTTACTTTATTACAAAACTCAGTTAACCCTCAACCCAGTTAAACGGGAGTTGAAAATAGAACTTTAAAAAAACTCATAAGCTCTGTCATGAAATACCCGATAATATAAGAATTACAAGAATAAATCTGCTAAATAACACTTCATTTGCTTGCATTCCATGTAATGTGATAACTGCCCTGTATTTCAAAAAGAGGAAACATAAAAATAGAAAAAGGTCATTGAAGATAACAAAACACTCGGATTTTTTATTCTTCTAATATAAATCGTCTAGATATACGGATGACGTCTAGAAACTCGATGACGTATTACCACACGTCTGTATAAATACATCACTGCTTTTAAGCATCGAAACAAATTATGTCAGTCTCTTAGAATTTCAACGTCGCTTTTACGTCGGGTCGCTTTTAATAAATTTCTCCACTTTATACTCCCGCAGCCTTTCACCCCCAGGGACGCCCCTTCGCCCTTCGTTTTCTCGACCGTTCTTAAAGATAGCCTCGGGCAAAGTGGAGTTTGCGAACTTTTATTGCTTGTTGTGGAATGCAGAGGAAAAAATAAACGAAATCGCGGTAATTTTTTACTTATCTTACCCCGCCTCCCAACTGGGCATTTGCTAAGTGACATAAGAGGCATGTAAATCTGATGGCCTTCAAGATTGGGAAGCCGAATAAAAACTAGGTTGTAATTTATGTACCTCCTCAAGTATTCTTCAGATAGAACTGAGCAAGGATTTTGTAATGTATATTTCTAGATCATCAGATAGAGGAAAATACTATCTCCTCCACTTCCCTCTTCGTGCTAAAAATCGAGCAGCAAACATGCTTGTCCATCGACATCGACTAGTTCCTTAACTAATGAAGTTATTTTTGTTGATATTTTGCTAAAACATTTCCAATTACCTAAAAGATAAAATTTAAATTACCCCTTCAGAAGACAAAGAAAATACTTGGAAACAGAGTGACAAAATGATAACAAAATATAATCTCTCCAAACGATTTCGATCCATTCGGAAGAATAAGGAGCTATTTAAATTCAAAAATTAAATGAGGCATTAAAATATTCAGTGATTCTAAGGTCTGTGACTTTAGGCTTTCTGGCCTTCTTAATATCTGAGAACCGAAGAAGATAAGTCTGTTATCTCTTTGGATCCCTACACCATGCAGACAAATGAAACCATAGCAACAGTTTATTTATACAATTGTGTGTTAAATTGCACATAAATTTTGACCCTATAATGAGAAGAATAGTAATGAGAAGTGATAAATGCAAAGAAGAGCTGCGTTATAAAAGCGAAAGATCTCAAGAGTTATATATCTGTCTGTTGAAATTTAATTTGGTGATGATGAGAGTTTTGGCGTAGTGTGAGATTTGGTTCTTTACCAAAAGAGCATACGTGCTCAAGTTAAACACAAATTTTAATGGGTGCCTTCCTTGAGCTTCACAAATCCAATGAACAGGACATGTCAACCTATGACATGTGAGAAAAGAACATCACATAAAGCAGATAAAGGATGGATAACAAGTGAATAGCTTGATTGCTATATCATCAAATACTTGGCTGTAGAAATTCCATTTGACAATTAATATAAATGCTGTCTGGGATATTTGGGTAGTTTCTATTTCCGATATAATCTTCGACAGCTCCTTTCCCTGTCACGATTCTATATATCATATCGCGGCACCACGCTGAAGAGAATTACCACTACTGGCCACGTCGATAACCAGGACATCGGGAGGACAGATTTTCATACACACATATACCTTTTTGGCTTCTACCGCGGGATTATATAGAACGCATCTTCAACACTGCACAACCGCAAGGGAGAAAAGCAAATTTCCAAAAACGCGGCTTTGTCTAGGAATAATTGTTATTCATATTTTGTAATAACACCAAAATAAAAAATTAAAGAAAGAATATGATTTCTCTAAATATTTATGAGGAAGATACACTAAGGAATTAATCAAATCCTAAAACTAAAGAACTCGCTAAAATATTCTGGGATTGTTAAGTGTATGATTCTAGTCCCTTTTTCCGCATCTAGGAACAGAAAGGGCCTGAGTAAAAATGTCCTCCAGGCCCCTTTAGTACCTTAGGGAGAATTGACACTATAATAATAATACGAGAATAATAATTTTAAATAAGGTTTCAGCAAATGGCTTTTAAATTTTGTACAGCTGATGAAAAAAAAGTTGTGAAATGTAAGATAAGTATTTTTGAGAAATTGTTTTAGAGATAACGCATAAAACGTATGAAAAGGTATTGCAGTTGAATCACTGTTTCAAATAGAATCACAAACAGCTTTGTCCATGACTCAAAAGTTCTTCTGGGCAGAGCGAATAAATTAGAAGATATTGAAAGATTGAAATTTACACCTCATAGGAGTTAACAATTTTCTGTTATTATCTAAAATTATATCCTGATAAAATAAAGTTGTAAGTATTTATATTTAATTTAAATAACCAATTTTATTTAATTTGTTATTCTTTCCTATAACCCTTCATTCCCCTAATTGTCAATGCCATAATATTTAAATTTGGTAGGCCGCGTGAAGGAGCGCAAATTCTACCTTGAAGAAAGCGTTTAAACACTGAGGTTCAGTAGAAAAGGGAAAGAGAGAGAGAGAGAGAGTTAGGCTATTGCCGTCACCTCTGTTGCGTAAGCATCTGCTTTCAGAGTTACTGCTGGTTCGCGTGGCTTAACTGCATTTACTTACTGCCGCTAGTTTTCGACGGGGGTTTAAGAAGCAGGAATTATCTGAGCCCTGCAAGTTAGTTCTACTGCTTGTACATATCTTCAATCAGTTACCGCCCAAGCAGAGGCGTAGTATGTTAGCGTCGAGTTGGCGCATTGTCAATTTTAAAGAGTGAATAAAGGGTACTTTTAACCCTTCGCCGGTGCAGCTACTACTCTTACAGTCCTCACACAGGAGTTAATCAAGTGGACTCTGCAAAGTCCATAGGAAATCATACCTCAGAAACTGAAAATGACAGGAAGGAAAGAATCTAAGACCAGTAAATGTTGCTCTAAATGTAAGAACTAAACACTCATGTGCTCTCTTGCATAGCCAGTTTTCATAAAGTTCCTGTGATTGATGACGTGTAGAGAATCGTACGTCAATTAGCCAGTTATTTATAATTTCAGTCTTTACTATAAATTTTCCTTTCCCTATTTCTCACTAGAATGCAAATTAGTAGTGCATATTTAAAGAGGTATGTTTTTCGATTTGGGAAAGAAAATGTTTATGGCATCACTTTCGCACTACGCAGCTAGTTGTCTGCCGCCTCTAATAGTGGGCTTTGAGTTCTTTCTCTGCCGATACTTTCGATCTGACGCTCCGGTACAGGGAACCAGCTTCTCGTAATATTTAATTATGCAGTCCTTGACTATTGTTCAACGTTTGATTGAATCTGGACTGTTCATCACCACGAGCTGTAGAAATTGTAGTACAAAAGAATGCCCTTATGTTCGAAATTCTGTTTCAATAAAAAGCTTATTTTAATTTTCTCAAGACTTTGTCATTGTTTTCAGACACAGCCATAATTCACTTCACGTATGTTGGAGCTATTAGACTAAAATAGCATTATTAAATCAAATGAAATCCAGTAAAGTGCAAGATCTTTAATTTAGCTATTAAATTTAGTAAGTTAGTTACTGATTAAAAAACTGAGAGATTTAAAACCTGTAGAGGTACTTTAAGTTTATAACAGTTATTTTAAGTTTAAACTTATTTCAGTCTATTCTCGTTTCTTATCTACTATTCCCGTGCCAGAATGAGATTTTAGTATCGAGTTTTATGCAAATAAGTATTTAAGGGAAGTTCAACTTCATTTGACAGAGAGAACTTAGTGACCCTTTTGGCTACTTCGTTCTTGAATTTCTTACGCTCGGCCATATTGTACGTACCTATTGATAATCGCCGGTTAGGTTCAATTAAGGACCAACTATGTTAGGTATTTATGTACAGCTTCGGCTAAGTCTAATTAGTTTAGTATTAGAGTCGTTTCTTATTTTCTTACATTGATTTAAAGCTCGAGTGGAGGCTTTCCTGTAAACCCGAGAAGGGGCCATCTGTTATTATTTCTTTGATTGAATAGAAGGGTATTTTAACCCTTCTCAAGTCTCTGAAGCAACTAATTTAACTCAGCGATAATTCCCTTAGTTCACTAGGTTCCTCGACATAAACAAAGTACTTAGGAACATTCAAACCAATAAAAACACTTCTTAACAATTAAAATTTTTATTTCCCTTTTTTAATAATGTATCTAATTTATATAAATTAAAGTATTTTAGGAATAAGTAGATAGTTGAAATAAATATTTTTGACTTATGATATATTGTGTCATATTTGTAAAAATGTGTAGTTTTATTGTAATTAATAAAGATGCTTCAATCCTTTTTTTTTAAATTTCATGTTTAGTAATATTTCAAACTTTATATTGTTCTTAATTATTTCCCTTTATTGAAAAAAAAAATACGAGGTTAAGAGTTCGAATCACGGTGAGGGTTCCTTCATTGATATAACCTCAGCAGTAGTTTTCCCAAATAGTTTGAAGGTTATAGGCATTCTTCTCAATTATTGTAACAATATGTTATCTGTTTAAAAATAATCAGTTTGAATATTTTTAATGGGATTTTTGAAACCTCAAATTCTAGCAGTCTGTTAGAGAACGGGAGAAGAAAAAAAAAAAGATGGAATCAAACTCGGTCCAGTTCTTTTTTTTTTTTTTTTTTTTTTCTTTCTCATCACTGGAATTGTTAATTCTGTATTCATCCAAAACTCTAACACTAATTTATCATATCCAAAAAATTAAAAAAAAAAAAAAAAAGAAAGAAACAAAAATCCGTTGCAATTTTAGTTAACTTGGATCACCAATAACCGAACATTTTTCCCAAGCGGAATGAATTTTTAAGTTTGAACACACGCTTCAGAACGCATTCTTTTTTAACACAAAACGCACTCTTATTGAAAAATTGTCAAAGTATTTAAAGAGACCTTCCAAAATTACGCAGACATACGATTCATATAATTTTTAAGGGTTTGCTCTGGAACAACCCACTACACCATCATCACCGCAACCAAAATGTTCGCGAATATTTTCCCTCCAATGGCGGACACAGCTGATGATAGACGTTGGCGACTACTAAGGCCAGAAGCAGTGGTTACTTTATTATGGAGACACATAATAGGTAACAGATCGAACTGGCAATGAGAATCAACTTAAGTAGTATGTAAAACACATAATAGGTGGGCCCCCTTTGCCTTCTATAAAGGGACGGATAGTTACAACTATGCCTTCTCCGGGATTCGAATTTGGGCCCTTTGGTATCGCAGTCGGCTCTCCTAACCACTACACTATCTGGGCGGCTGTTTGTGAATCTAACAAGACAATGATGTTCTGCTGGTAGGTTGAGTTCGAAAAGCTGGAAACGTTCCCATAAAAAAAAAGAAATGTGCATTCCTAGAGAAGGGTCGAAATCAGAAATAATATGGTACAGTAACCAAAGAAGAGTGTGAGAAAGATGAACACATGAATCAGGTTTCTGCATTGCGAAGTAATGCTCAATCATAAAAATTCTGCTTGGGAAAAATCTCATCTCCATCTTGTAACAAACAAACGGTTTTTAAAATTAACCACATAAACTGCGGCTGAAAGATTATTGCTTTAAAAGTAATAGATATATTATTTTTTATAGTATATTGCTTGTATATTAGCATTTGTAACAGTGTATGACTACCGAAAGATACAGTATTTGTAACAGTATAAGAGGGATGTCTTCCATTGAAACACTATTACCATTAATATCCTTTTCACAATTTTCACAATTTTTTTTAAATACTTTTATCGCCATTCTTAGATACTGTGTATTGCCTTAAATTGTATTGTAGAAAATGATTAATTCAAAATTCAGTAGTTTTAATTACATACTTCTTTGATAAATTATGTCTGCATCTTCATCATAGAATGCAATTCAAAATATATTTCCTTAAATTTCTTTTCTTTTAAAAATAACTGCAGTAAATGGACTGCGTTATGATACTAGGGCTACCTGTCTAATGAGAAAGGATGGAGGACATTCTTATAATTATTAAAACTGGTCACTTTGCTCACGTGAAAATACACCAAGACGCCCTTGAACATAGCTCTTCTCTGAACTGGAATCCGTGTAGAACTACCAATATTTGGCTTCATATCAACTATGACAATGGTGGACCTTTTTATTAAAAGGCTTTTTTATTTTGCCTAGATAAAGGCTCAAACTATTTAGAATTGCGTCCTAGTATTAAGTGGAGATTGCTTTTTCCTTCTTCTTATCATTCTTATATAAAGGATTCCGAGAGATTTCAATATCTTCTAGGATTCGGGCTCGATAAAATTTAGGATTTGTCTCACTTCTACTTGATAGAATCTATGAATTCTAATATACTGTTGTAATAAAAAGCATCGGAACTAGAGTACTAGATAAAAAATACAATTCGAAAATAATTAAATGCCTATAATTTTAGCAGAGAAAGCACATCGCCTGAAATAGGGTAGGGAAAAAGAAACGCAAGTGATCAACATGTCTTGAACATTTAAAAAGATTCGAAGAGCCGATTAAATTTCATGCCCAGATCGCTATCAAAGATTCAAACACTACCCCTTAATTTAACCTCTGGCTAGATGGGCGCTTTTAATCTCAAACCAGTGACGTTTCTTCTCTCTGCTTCTTGGGTGATGGGGAGGAATGGGAAACGTTCGAAAAATCGAAGAAGAATGGACCATGGATCAGAATTTAGAACCGTAAAAACGTCCAGCTTGCTGACATTGATTGCCATCCGAATTGATGTTAAGTTATAGTTGAAAAGCTTATGCTTTTCTTTTATCTTTTCGTTTTCTTCCTTTCTTTCGCTTTCTTCCCATGTTGAAACAGTTTTTTTCTTCTTATTATTTTTTTAAAGTTACGGTTACCTGCTGCAAAATTATATCAGCAGGCAGAAGACATAGAAGATTTATGTTTTATTTTTGGTTTCTTTTTGTTTTTTGTTTTTTCTCTTTAAAGTTTATATCGTTTTAGAAACTTATAATTTTAGACATATTCATTTTAGCTATATTATTCTTATAGATATACGTTTATGCTTTTAGAATATATATGTCATATAGACAGACCTTTTTAGAGATTAGAAGCTAATAATAATTATAAAATGATAGATTGCTCTTATTATTGCATGCGATTCATTTAGTGTTTGTATTTTTGAGCTTTTCAGAGCTTCCATTAATGTTTTCAGAATTCTAATATTAAAAAAACTCATTCATATGGTCATATCTATTTATATAGACCTATTACATACGACCAATTTACAATAATTACCCTAAAAATAGCAATAGACTAGTTTTAAGTATATAAATCTTCATATCATATTATATTTAGGACCTGTAATAGATATATCAAACGTATTTAAGATTAAAAATTATTGAAAACTCAAGAAAAAACAATTTATTTTCTCGAATTTGTTTCATCAGAAATCCATTCCCGTACTTTGATATGTGCCACGAAAATAATATCTAGAAATTAAAGTGTTGAAAAAAGTGAAACCGCAATTAGACATGTTAGCATACGCAAGAAGAAGAGTTAGAAATTTTGCTTTTCCAATAACACAAAATAACACGTAATTCAAAATATTGTTATGAAATTGAAGTAAAATTATCTTTAAACGATTAACTTACGTTGCATTGAGCAATACACCTGTACTTGAAAATTTAACTTCTCTATTCGAGAGCGTTAAGACACTGTAGAAATGGTTTTCAGATAAGCTGCAAATTTAAAAGTACATGTTATTGTTATAATACACGTTATACTGAAAATATTACAATATTGAAAGTTTTAAAATATGTAAGATAGCTTATATTTCTTTCCCTAAAATATTAATGACGAACCTATCTGATTAAATAATAAAATTATTTTAGTGTTTTTTCTGGTGTTTAAACGTCTATAAATTATTTGTGCATATTACAGAGTCATAAAATTACTAACTGCATAAATTTGTCTCAAACGTATGTAAGCAAATAATGTTGCTTGATTATATCTTAAAAGCCAACTATGCGTAATTTAGCTTAATAAAGATAAAATAACACACCGAACAAGTATCAGTTTAGAAGTCAAACAACAAAAATCAGCGTGATATTTGCAAATTTCCACAGGACTAGTTTCAGTATTTTACCGACCATCATCTTCAACTGCCATTTGCATTTTCGCAGCTGAGGATAATGGTTTGGTAAAACCATCGAAACTAGTGCTGTGAAACATTGCAAACATCACGCTGATTTTTGTTGTTTGACTTTTAAATTAATTTAGCTTGTTTAATTATTTTATGAATGCTATCTTTGTACATAAAGTTAAAGTATTGAACATAAAGATTTGTGGTATTGATATGTGTATTTGAGATATAGGATTTACAGATTCCACACTTTAAATATTTAGATTTACACTTACAAAATTTATTTAATAAACACTGATAAAATTTGCACTATTTAAAAGTACATTAGAATTTATTCGCAAGAAACCAGTGCAGCTTTTTTTCTTGAAATCAATGGTTTAATAATGAAGATTGTACATTAATAATAAGCGAATTTAAAATACATGTCTACTAGCAAAAGCAAATCTTTAATGTATACTGATATTATGTATACAATATATCGATACTGAAATATTTTAATTATTATAGATATAATTTTACTCTACAGATACTAAAAACTGTATCGGAATTTATTCGGAAGAAAACGGAGGTGTAAATGTGTAAAAACAACTTATATAACATAAGTTATAACATAGTAACATAAGTTTTCTTCCGAATAAATTCCGATACAGTTTTATATCTGTAGAGTAAAATTTATCTATAAGATTATAGATATATTTTACTCTACAGATACTAAAATTTTTATATACGTTATATAACATAAGTTATATAACGTATATAAAAATAACTGATATAACATTTGTAATCACAAATTGCTAAACCATTTCTCACCTTCATTCTCTATGCAAAACAATCAAAATAACAGAATTTTAAATGAGATATGAAATGCCATTCCAAATGTTTAATGGAATTGAAAACTTTTCGCGGCGTTAAATTCAGAAGAAGTCTTGATTCACTGAATTTCTGAAGAAATTCCTCCTTTCGAAAACAAATTATAACCAGTATAATTGCTTCCTGGATGTAAAGGGTCATTTTTGGACTCGGAATTCGCGAAAACTTTTGATTTGAAATCAATGGTGAACAAAGCTGAATATTTCAACAATTTCAATTATTAATATTGCTATTAACATTCAGATTTTTAAGAAAATACGTAAGTATATGGAATTTTAAGAATAATGATGTAGCAGTTGGAAAAGGTTCAAATGTAAGAAGTACTTTGATTATTATTTACATTTAAAATATTTTCAAGCGCAAAACACTGGAATTCATACCATTCAACATCCTCACTGTATTTATACAAAAACAAAAATTTCACACGGATAAATTTATAAATAACAGAATAAAAATCGATGTTATGAGAAACATTAAAGCTTATTTATAGGAGCTGTGAATTTCATATTGGTATGATACACGAAAAGCTTGATTTTTCCCATTATAAAGAATTTTTTTTATCATAAATGTTGTAGATTTCATAAGAAAGTACTGTCACAGACATCCCAAACAGCTTCTCGAGATATGGTACGGGCTCACTGCACCTTTCATTTATAGGATCATTTCCATTTGTGACTCAAATGGAAATGATCTAAGAGATACATTTCCATTTGAGTGAAACGTGAAAAGTCTACAGAGATACATTTCGAGCTGTTTCTATCACAGCAGAACGTTATGTAAAGCTTTAAGAAACAGCATCATTCATTCCTTGCAAAAACGTAAACTGTTCCATAGTGTAAAAGGATGTCATGCAAGAAGCAGCGCCTTTGCATAGGTTCTATCCGACACCTGCTCCAATTGACATTTGTTGATGGCAGTGCTCTCAGTCTTTCTTCCCCATACGAATAACCAACAAGATCTGCAGACCTTACAGCTTGTGACTTTTATTTATGTTGCTACGTGAAGCCGGTAGATGCTACTGGCCACACCGAAAGAAGTTATTCCCATCAGTACAATAGAAATTACAACCAAAACCTCTTCTATTGCGCAGAATGCCGTGCCATGTCTAACGGCCATGCTTGTGAATGACAGATATCACACTGACCATTTTGCCCTCCTATTAATGCATAATGTATAACGATGTATTACTACTGTCGTAATTCAACAAAGTAACACCACTTTTTGATGTAAAGTATCTGTATATTGTCATATATTGTATAATAAGCGTTGGTATTTTAAGAATCCGAAATACCTCTGTCTTCCAACATCAGCCCCTGTTTGGCAATGTTGTTTTTCTGGACAAGAGGATCCGGCCGATATCCGAATAGCCAGTGAAAGCCACTACCAGGTGGCTTTCACTGACTATTCGGTTGTTCGGACCCTGCTGTCACTTAAACGCCAATTATGTCAATTGATGCAGTTTTCCCACGAGATACGGGGGAAGAAATGGAATTGAGCAAGACCCAGCCTGCATTCTATCCACCACAACCACTAACGACATGCCATTTACGAACAAAGAAGTTAATGCTGCATGCTACCTAAGAAAATATATAAGCTACCTAAGAAAAGACGCAGAAAAAAATTATCATTACGGAGGAGAAATTTCAGCTAGCCCCGGGACCACGCGAAAAGTAAAAATTTTAAATGGCATGCAGCGCCCGTTTGTGTTAGCAATAACCAAGGCCTACCGCATCAATACGGGCGCAACGGTTACAGTCTTAGCAGTACTAATCCAGCTTCACCACAAGATGCCACTAGGGTTAGGTTACTGAGACGAGCAGTGATGCATGAAGAACAAAACTATGACCCAGCCCATTATGAGCAAAAAAAGATCGCTTCTAAAAGTTTACCCTGCACATTTCGGAGCAGGCATCTACACCCACATGACAATGTTTGACATTTGCAGAGTTCCGGCAAACCCAGTTTACTTTATTATTATAGTGTATTCGTAATCAAGAGGAACAGTGCTAACTAGGTTCGTAGAAAGGGCAGTTAGGGTCTGAGATCTCCGTCTTTCATGTAGAAGTGATAACCATTAGACAGGACACAGAAACTACAGCTGAATAAGCGAGGTAATATACATCATTTTTCAGGCAGCCTCTCAGTAGTTCATACAATCCGAAATCCCTTCCATCCTGCCCCACGCATAGAAGATATACAACTCATAAAAGGAGCGTCAGAAGCATATTTATATTTCCTGGAAAGAAGTCCATTCTGTACCCCAGGGAAATGAAGAAGTTGATGAGCTTGCAAAAGTGTTCTCATGCAATATAGATGCCCAGACCGTGCCCATCCTGTTTGCAAAATCCCATCTCAAGAGAGGAATCTTGACGCAGCAGTACAAGATTGGCAGGATGAATGGGAGGGAATTTCTCAGGGTAGAAGAGCGCATGTCTTTTACAACAGGGTTCCTGCAGACCGCTTAATTTCAGTTCCATTTATAACCCGCTTTGTCACAGACACAGTCACTTTCTGGAATTCTTCTGGAAAAGGAGATTTGTTCCTTCTAACCTCTGTGCATGCGGCGAGGCTGGATTCTTAGATCATTGCATAACAACATGCTTACTCACAGAAGCGTGGCAAATGCAATTGCCACACACTGGTGATCCATTTGAGTAATTCTTCACTAAGCGGCCAGCAGTCGTTAAGAAATTAAAAAGTATAATGGAAAAACTAGGCACTAGGGCGGGACCTATGTCATGCTGATTAATGTGCTCCTGTTTAATTAAAAAGATCTAGAGAAGTAGTATATGCGTTGTATATCGTACTACTGCACACAATGACGAACGTCAGTAACGAAAGTACGAAGTAATGCGTCAGTAACGAAACACAGTGATTGTAGTACTGATGACACAGTAATGAGAACAGCACTGACTGTAATGAGTAAATAGTACTGAGAACTGTAATTAGTCAGCTCGAATACAGTACGGTATCATATACAAAGAAATACTGCCCTTAACCTTTTGTATTAACCTTTAATATTGTGTGAAGGATAATGTAAAGTATATTTAATTAATATCATATAGTACTATATTGAATTTAGCATATTGTACCCAATGAATATAACATTGTAATTTATGCATAAATTATTGCAACAATAACTTTTGTTATCAAGCAATGTTGTGCTTCAGTGTTTCACATACTCTGTATTATGTGTTAAATTTGCTATTAATGTAATAATGTATTATGTGCGTTAGACGTCGAATTACATTTATTAAGTACTAATGTCAATGGCTATAAATGTAAAGTCAACATACTTTCAATGTGATCCTTGTAAGGTCACTAGGGAGTACTGATCTAGAGACAGTTCCGGAAACCGGACAACACCCGATCAGTCTATGTAAGCTGGCTGCCCGGGTGTCCGGATCTACTTCTTAAATGTTCACCTGCACCAACTTCTGCTTGCCTTCTTCTACTTATCAGTTCCTGCACCATCTGCTCTCCATTAAAATTGGGGAGGCGGCGTACTGTCACCTTAAATGGTGCTCAAGGTTTTAGCCAACGACGGGCGCAATCTTGCTCTCCTTGCCATCTAGAATTTCGTGGGCTTGTTTTACCAACCACAGCCGCAGACTTGCTCTCCTTGCCACCTAGAAAATCGTGAGCTTGTTTTGCCAACGACAGGCGCAGTCTTGCTCTCCTTGCCACCTAAAAATTCGTGGGCTTGTTTTGCCAAAGACAGCCACA